ATGAATTCTGTACAAGAAAATGCCAAAAAACTGGATTTTTCAAAATGCGACATGTGGTCCCTTTCACCAGGCACACACACATATGATATTCAGCAAGTTAACAATTCAAAATATTAAAACCGCACTCCCCAAATGGATTTTTAAAAAGTGTACACGCCTGTACTATGACTCTTGATAATTACAGACAGATCACAGTACCGTTCTCTTGTTCATTGGGCGGACACATGAGTTTGTGTAACAAAAGTGATTGTTTACCTAGATTAGCTATAGAAAACAGCAGTTGTGAGAAACACTACTCACAATTTTCACAACAGTTCTGACAATACCCTGAGCCGCCAAAGCCGTAATAATGTTTAAATTTGTCAGAAAAGACAAAAACATTATTATGCTTTCCTCAAACGTTAAAAATGTGTTATATCAGGTGCGTTTTAAGATGAATAATGTATATTTTTTGCTTTAATAATACATTTTTATGTATAATATTTGTATAAGGGTGCTTTGGTTACACTGTCATTCCTAGATACTCTACATCATTACTAATTCAATACAAGTTTTACAGTAATCATGTGCTAAAAGTTGGACAAATTGTAAACCTCCTCAATTTTAAAAAATGAACCAACACATTCGGCAACAATTTTGTTACAAGCTATAGTCACCTTGGTGAGTTGTCGTTGATCCCGATTTTTTCCCCCTGAGATCCTGATTTTTAGATTTCATAGAGTGAGAGTGGTAGATTTAGTTGAGACATGATGTGAACGGAGAGTCTGCTTGTGAAGGCACATAGCCGGTAGGGTCCTATCTTTTGCCACGTGTGTCCGCTCGCTTTCTCTTCAATAGAGATTACATGCTATTCCATAATTCAGAAGCTTGCCGATGTTCTGCACAGTTAGATCTAGGTGAAGTTGTTGTAGTAGAGAGTGAACCATAGCAGAGCAAAAGATACGTACAAAGGTTTCTCGGTTGAGGACAAACGGCTGATCCGAGCAGAGGTGGGTGAAAAATCAACATAAAAACCCAATCTGCTAAACGTTTGCGATTCCGAACTAAAGGAAAAAAACACCGGAAGATATAGTGCTGAACCAGGGACGAAAAGGCATAAACTGATAAAGTGAAGGTCAGTGGAACAAGCAGTGTTTTATTTGTTTCAAAAGATTCAGGCTATAGCTATTTCTATGTCAAGCCAAGTTAAGACTGAGGACTACAGGATTAAATTTTAGAAATGAAATTGCCATGAATCCATCAAGCATGCCGGCTTTGCATCAAAGGGCATAATTCATGTAAATTATGACCTAATTGTCCAACTTGGTTATCTTCCTTTGAGCGGTCTAGAATTTGTCCATTGCAAAATTCGTACATAACGAAAAGATTTCTATGTCCCGCCGATTACACCATCAACTGCAACAGCCCAACCTGCAGCCCTGTACAATGTGTGCACTAGTACCATGCATCCACAGTTGTAGTTCAAAAAGTACAAATGTGGACTGTGACAGTGACACGACACTTTAAAAATAAATTGTGTGGATTGTAATAAGACACTTTGCTGTGTTAGTTAATACATCTGTGAAAAAATTAACATCCAGGAATAGCACGTTGCTGTTTTACGGACCCAGAACCCGATTGGATGGATTGTTGTCAAAGGAATGCATTGATGAAAGTACATTTACTACTACATGTATCTTGAAGGAATGTGTGCATTTAATAATATTGTGTGTGTTTATCTAACGACGTTTCTCAACGTGAGTTATTTTCAGGCGTAGGCATTTTACTAATTCGGATTTCTGGTTTTTGAACCTGTCAGTACTTTCACTCATGCTTCTTACTGCTGTCTTTCAGCCACACCCCTGATATTCTGGTAGGAAAGATCTACACCTAGCCTTCTCAGACAAGGGCGAAAAATCTTGGAGGTCCCGTTTGCAAGTTGCGCACGTTAAAGATCCCTTGGTGGTCTGAAATCGATAAGAGTAAGCTTCGGCTACCACCCAGGCAAAATTTAAAAATTTCCTACCGACTGAAAAATGTTTAATGTGTCCCGCGCACTCATATGACCTTATGCAATTGTGAGCACCGTAAAACATTTGCCAAAAAAAAGAGAGAGAAAAAGAAAAAAGAGGTGATATCTATTCAAATCAAGCTATTCTTGCATGGGTCTCTTTTTTCTTTGTAATAAACATTGATGTTTTTGTATATTCCCCTTTTCTTTTCTACTTAAAGCCAGTCTACTGGTATTATCCCCCATCTTTCATACCACTTAAGTGCTTGAGCAGTTTGAATCTACGTTGCATGAATTTTAAACAGTGGGAACCTCCGATCATTTCTAGACCTCCAAATTGATAATTTTGTTTTGCCTTGTCATTCTAAAAAGAAGCTTTCTAAAATATCTCTCTTGAAAGCTGTTGAAATGTTTTGTCCAGGTTTGAATAGTGTCCAGTCTCACTTGCCAACATTGAGTTCTCACAGTACATTTTTATCTTTGTCTTCAGTCTTTGATAGCTTGCTGGTGGACATAGCATAATCAGAAGTTCAATTATAATGATCAGATGTCTAGCTTTTTCTTATAAAACTCTGTGGGCCCAATGGGCCTTTGCTGTAAGTGATTGATTTTGCTCATGAATCATGAAGCCAGAGCATGTTTTCCTTAAAATGGAAAATTCTTTTTTTCTTTCACAGAATTCTCAGGTGTTTTCATTCCCAAACCTAGACGTGGAAGTCAAAAAGGTAAAAATTATGAAAAGAATTATAAATGCTGAGATATTAATGTTTTTCTCTTGTGGCATATTTTTTTTTATTTTAAAAAGTGTGTGCTGGAATGCCATTCGAGATATTTTTTTTTTTTTCAAATCTGTACCAATATGGAAGTAAGATACTTTTTAAATATTGTTTCCATTATTATAATCATCATATGTGTTTCGTTTGAATAGTCTGTAAAGTCTGTGAGAGAAGCTTAATTTTTGTGTAAATTATATTCTCTTCATGGTTAATTTTTTACAGATGTACTTCTTTACCCAACCTCAGTAGATATTTTAAGTTTCATGAAATATTTGTCAAAATTTTCTGTACAGGAATGTGTGGAAGCAATCCTTTTGTGGTTGAAGAAGCCGCAGATTGCTCCAAAGACTTCTATTGCTTGCCTTCAAGCTTTTCGCATACTTAGCCGAGACAAAGCAAATATGCAGTCTTTAACAAGTGAGAAGGCCCTGGCTACCCTGATCACAGTGGCTGGTATTGAGCACTACGCCACTCAGGATGTCGATGCAGCTACTTTAACCATTTTCGATGGTGACCAGAGCGGTAAGTATAATGCAGTAGTAACGATTTTTGTATTTTTGGTTGTTGTTTTTCTTTTTTCTCTTTAATGTTTGAGCAACTGTTCCATCATCACTTAATCACTTTTGGAGAAATGCAAAGACCAGTGTAATGGATTCTACTTTTTACACTGACACTGTTACACCTTGATCAAATTGCTTATCTTTTTAATGATGTTGTCTGTATATCCTTGGATTAAATTTTTTTTCAAAAAGCCTCTTTAGATTTTTATGCAGGTGCTCGGAGGTTTATGTTTATACCTGTAGGTTTAAAATTATTGATCATATCTTTGAAATTCTACATACTCTTAATGACCTTCATTTGTTGTTGTTTTTTTTTTTATCATTTTTTTGCAGTGATGGTTGAGGCTCAGAAGTGTCTGTGCAATGTTATTTTTAACAGCATTGAAGCTCAGAGGTATTGCTGGTAAGTGTCTTTCCCACAAAGATTTTATAAACATATGCAATCTCGCGCACAAGTTGCAAACAGATTTTTAGGTTTCCTACATAGCCAAATTCATACTTAACAAAAATATTTCTGCATCCCATGGATTTCACTATGTGCTTTCTAAACTGTGTAATATCAAACTCACAGTATTGGTTAAAGATATATCAATTCCCTTCCTTCCTGAGTGGAATGTGAGTAGACTGGTGAGTGCTTTGTCAGGGCTGTGTCATGTGATTTTTTAGAGGCTTTCGAATTTCACCAATGGCTCAAGTTTTGCTACAGTCTCACTCTATCCATCAGCACTGGTGTGTTCACTTAAGTCTTAAGTCAAGTTTGCCTAATCTGTGGATAAATGAGAAGTATTTAACAAGATTTTTGTGTGGATTTAGGTTTATTTTGTACTTAAGTGTGACTTTCTAAATTTCTGTTTATTCTTTATCTTGTCAAAAAAGGGAGAAGAAAAATGATTTGAAAGCTAGTTTTTTTTAGCTTGCTTTTCTTTGGTAAATGTAAGTCAGTAGAGGTGATTGCATTTATTGGGGTGGTATGATTACTGCTCTATGAGCTCACTGTTGTTTGGTCTATGTAATTTTATTAAACCTTATGTTGTGAGTATTCTGATTGTTAAAAGTTTTTGGGGTTTTTTGCATTTTTTAAAGTGACTTCTGATGCCCTTTGGAAATTATATAACTAGTGCATGATGTAAGCTGACTTTCTGGTTTGGTCCCTGTAATTTCAGTAAATCCGGATGTGTTGTTGGAGTGGTACAAAGGCTCAAAACTTATGGAGACCCAGATGTTCAGTTTGATGTAAAGGTTTGTCAACATATTCTATGTTGGGTATTATTTTATTTCTCTTTATACCCACTTCACTTTCATTACATTGGAGGTCCTGTCATAAAAGTTACACTGCATTCATCAATTTTATGCACATTTCCTTTTATCTTGGGTTTAAGTGAGTATGAGCTGAAAGCATTTTCAACACATAATCTGAGATATGAGAAACTATCCATCAGCAAGATATGATCGTCCATTACTTTTTTTACAGGGAACCGTTGGAATATATAGATTGCTTGTTAACTACACACAAATTTTGAATATCAGGGATAGTGATAGTGTGAACAAGAAATGTAGCAATGCCAATCGGGCTTCCGCTCGCGGCGAAATTTTGGTCCACCTTTGCGGGTAAATTTTTGGACCGGGTCGGAACGTAATTTACTAACTTTCTCAAACTCGTTCTGTGCTATTTTTGGACCAATGTAAACGAAACTTGGCAACCAATCAGAAAATAGGGCAAACTAATGGTATGTGGACATTGAAGTTTGTACACCTAAATTAACCTAAATTTTTGGTGTCGGAAACACTTTCGTATCGGGTATACCAAAAACTATAAGGAGCTTGATTTTGAATGCTGAGAAGGTTATAGATCTATCTTTCCTTTATAGTGTCCTCAAATTTGAACTTTCTGTGTCTAGTAGTTTATTAGAATTTATTATAAATGTACCACCACCCCCCTGTCCAAAGCGGCTTCGCACAAAGACCAGCCATTTTCCCCTCACTCCCTCGACGAATGCATGTGACCTACAAATCCATGAATGATTATTCCTAGCCCGTTCATTGGTCACTTGAAATACGGCAATTGTGGGCTCGCCCATCCGTTTGTTTTTCTCTCTGTTTTTCTGTAACACCGCAATGGGGGGTATTCCGAGGTGAGCTTATCTCGCCTCAGGGTGTTTGCGTCTGAACGGGAAAGCGAAGGTTTTTATTTGTACGGCATGTTAGATTGAATTGAATTATTTTTTATGGTTTGCCTGGTCTAAAGTCATGAAAGAAAGCTTTGCCATTATTTAGTCACGCTGCCAACATGTTCTTAAAGATCCCATGTTTTGATATACGATGCTATAAATAAAATGCTCTCATCCTATTATAACGAAATGATCACGTAATGGTTAGTAAATCTGACTACAAAAATGATTTCTCCACCCAAAAACACATTGGGTAGCCAAGTTTCTTTCTGACACTCCAATTAATTACTGAAATGTCGTCGATTTTCTTACAGAGTGTGCTGCTACATGGTCCACTGTTTAGGAGTATTTTCCTATTTGTGATTCATCCATATTTTGCCTACCTCTACAACCCAATAACTTTTTTATTTATGAACCGATTTTTAGAATTTAAAACTCTTTCTTAGGTACCAAATAAAAATAGGCTTAAGCGAAAAATCAATTTTTCTTTGGCATTGCTAGAAAATGTTTGGAGATGTGGAACATTCATGGTGCTGCAAAGGGGTGAAATTACAATATGATCTTATGGAAAAATGTACAAAGTTAATATAAAATGTTTCCTTGTGCTCCAGTTTTAATGTTCAATTATATATTTTTTAATTCAAACTGCTTTGTCACATTTGTATATTTATCTTATTTTGCTATTTGCCAAAGTAATCTCCGAAGAAATGTAGTCACTAAGGATTTTTCGACTGCCTCTCAAGAATTTGACTTTATACTTTATATGTGAAAGCATAAACAATAAAAGGGTTAATGCTTTTTTGTAGGTTTCAAATTTGTAATGTGTATCTGTGTGTGCATATGTATGTACTTTATTGTTTGTATCTGTGTAAACGTTTGTGTGTTTTGCTTTTATAAGGGTTTTTGCAGAGAAAGTATATTTAAATGGTTTCACAACTTTGGCAGTTGTGGCTGTCCAAAAGTGTTTTTCTATTTCTATCTTTTCTTTCCTTGACTTTGTGTTGTTATTTTGAGTGAGTTATTAATTTTTATTCCTCAGTTCTTTGACATGCGGATCTTGTTTCTTTTGACGGCACTGCCTACTTGTATTGAAACGAGGTAAGGTTGGGGGGGGGTTTTGTGTGTGGTTTTTTTTCCCTACTAGTGAAGTTTGGTGAAGATAGAGCAGATCCTTATGTGGGAGTAAACAACAGTGCATAGAAGTTGCCGTGTATGCTCAAGTAAGAAAAAAATTTGTTGTATGCAGGAGGGAAACATGTTTTCGTCTGTCAATGTGGTGTCAGTGTTACAAAAGAATTTATAAGCTTCTAGATTTAGTTGCCAGCTTTTAATCTTATTAGAAGGTTGATTGTGAATACAAAAGGTGATATGTTCATAACCATTTCATTCAAACTCATCCCTTTTTTTAAAGGCCGAAAGTCAGGTATGAACTGCATGGGTTCACATATCTGATGGAAGTTTTGGATCTTACACTGAGAGATGCAGAATCTCAGGAGACAGACCTTGCTGATCAACAAGTGGAGTTGTGTGCAGAAATCCTGAAGATTCTCTTTAACCTCACCATTTCCATGGAAAAAAAGTCTGTCGATGAGGTAATCACTGCTAGCTGTTATCTTTGCGGTGAAGACAGTTGTCTGTTTGTTTTACTTTTAAACTGATGTAAAAATAACATCTGTGGTAAACTGACCTTCTTTCATAGACAATTCTATTTTTTCTGTTTTTATTATTGCCTTATTTTTGTAATCTTCTTGATGTAGAATTGAATCATTTGGGAAGTAACTTCCATAATGGATGCGATGTTCTGAAATTCTGTTTTTCAAGTTAACCTGTCCTTATACACTAATTGATTGTCTGTACTTTTCCCTCTTGAAATGTATCTGACTCTTTAACTCTCATTGGCACTGCATTTATATATTTTGAAAATGTATATTTTACATGCCAGGTGTATTTGGTGGGGTCTCCGGCCGGCACAGTGCAGTTTCTGACCCACATAGTGAAAAAAATTTGGATTTGTAATTTTTTTTTTTTTTTAATTTTATTTATTTATTTTATTTATTTATTTATTTTATTTATTTATTTTTTTTGGGGGGGGGAGGGGTCGTATCTTAAATTAGGAGTGCTGTAACTGCTAAATCGAATTGCTGCATTATATTTTGACTCTTGTTTCCCAATGTTGATCAGTTAAGTTGCATAATTGTGAGGGAAATAAATTTCTATAAATTTCTTTTTGGTCTCAACTTTTCTAAGTTTGTTTTTCTGTTTCTTTGTTCATTGTAACTTTAGGAGGAAGAGGCACACTGCATGCGTCTGGTTAGCATCCTGCACGACCTTCTGATGAGCAAAATCATGTCAAGTGATAAAAGAGATGACTTGCAAAGGTGAGAAAGAAGTTTGTCTACTTTTTTTTGAGTAGAAGTTTGAGCTCATTGCTGGAATATTGGTTTTTTAAATACTTTTTTGTGTGTGTGTGTTAGGGATGTTGGTGAGTGTTCTGGTGAATTTGGTTGTTTCTTATACTTTTCTGATTTGCTCTTTTTTTGGATCTGTTCCCATCAAAATGTTTCTGTTATCATTCTAATCGTTGTCAAATAGTGGTGAGGCGTGCTGACAAAATGAGTTACTTCTCGCAATCCATAAATGAAGAAATGAAGACATTGGCCAAAAATCGACACTCGTGTCAAAATTATAGATTTTCAATTGATACCGTATTCTTTAAGTATAACATACCTTTTATCATTTCATATTTATAAAGTGTAAAAACTTCACCTATAAGAGTGATGTGTCTATTTCCATTAGGTTAAAATCTGAGAAGTAACTCATTTTGTCAGCATCCTTCACATTTGATTAGTTTATAGTTTAGGTGAGAAATTTATGTACAGGTTTCAAGAACCACAGGCTGGTCGCTTTTGATTCTGAAAAGATTAAGAAAATATGGAAATTTGTACGGTCATTGTTACTCTATTGTTTTACATTTATGGCCCAAGTCAAGGCAGAAATCAAACTGACCCAACTTGGCATTCCTTAAATGATGACCTACCTTTTCATTATAAAACTGCGTAAATGCACAGACAAGCTTCTACGCTTTCAAAGAGAAATTAGTGTGACCTAAGTCTGGATTAGCCATAAAACTAGGATTCTTAAAGATTTACCTGAAAGCTGTGATAAAGAACTTACAGGTCAATTAGAGAGCATTGACGATATTGTCATCTGTGGCCTTTCTCTGTTCCCGTAGCCACATTGTGAACCTGCTCATCAACATCCCAGCCGACTTCTACGAGGAGCTGCTGACCCCAATGGTGGAGGACGACAAGAGCATGGACTGCAAGGACGTAGAGTATGATGGAAAAAACATGGAGGCCATCAACGTGATCCTGGAGTTCCTGGACCACAGGCTGGACTCGGTCAGTGCTGCTGCAAAATTATATTGGTTGTGATAAGTTTTTCACCACCCCCCACCCCCACACCCAATCAACGGAATTTATATCGTTTATGAGGTGGGTTGTTCTAAACCTTCGCCCCTCCCCCACCTCTGTAAGCTGCAGCTCAATAATAGTTTGTTTTGACTTTATTCTTTTCTTAGACAGTTGCCCTTTTCGTTTATTTGATTTCTGAAAAAGATGCTTTCTGGGGGCCTTCTTGCTTCAGATATCAATGTCTTTTCAAGTTTGTTTTGTTTATTTTTTCTCATTTGTCACTAAACTATTGACTAAGCACCCAGTATTTTTTTCACTTTTAAAGTTTTCCCCTGTATATAAATGAAAAAAAGCGTGATTTATGTCAGGATTTTTTTTGTGTGTTATAAACAAATACTTTATTTTCTACCTTCTCTGACAGTCATCCAAAAGCCTAAAGGAAAGCCTGGCTCCAATCCTGCATTGCCTGTGTGAAGCTTGCCGTCATAATCGTGCCATTAGAAAGTTTTGTCGTCTCAAGGTTAGTTGTGAAGTAGAATGTTTAGAGAGATTTAAGGGTGTTTTTGAGATACTTTTGTAATGTATTGTGTGGGGTTACTGCCTCTTTCAGTGTGATATTGTTAATTTTAAAAATTGAGAAATTTAAACGAAACCTAAAATGGTTGTTATACCCCTGACAACTGCAGAATAAAATTTTTGTTTATGCTTATGATCTGCTTTGAAATCTCATACAGTTCCAACTGTCGGATATGGAAAACTGTTGCTGTAGATGTAAGTGAAATATAATTTGCAGGTCGGTCCATGACGAATGGAAGGGAACAGTACATAGTATTGCTTTCTCTTCTGTTTCCAGGTGCTGCCACCATTGCGGGGAGAGGTCAAACAGTTGCCGGAGCAGGGTCACAGTCTGAGAAACAAGTGAGTGGAAGATTGAATTCTCAAAAGGGGGGGGGGGTGTACATGAAATTGTGTAGTAAGACCTGATTTTCCATATGATCTCATTGCAGGTAACTTTGTAACCTAAATTTCCCTGAAGGGATCCATGGGTGTTTTTATTTATTAACTTTTTAAAGAGAAAGTGGATGCATATTTGTGGTTTCGTGGTGAACCCAGTAGCTTGTCGAAACAACGAAATGGAAGAAGTCGACATTTTTATTCCCGTTCTGCAATATTATTTGATTTTTAGAACTAGTTTTATGTTGCCTCAACATCTTTAATATCTTTTTTTTTTTTTAAACACAGTTCTGGGTGGATTATATTAAAAAATGATCAAGGACACAGAAAATTGTAAATTTGTTGTTTCAAAGGACACGCGAGCGTTGGATTTCACCAAACTTTGGCGGTCATTTTCTCGCTAATTTTACTCCGGACTCAAGGGTCCTCACCTCCTTAGATCGCAAATGTTTTGACTTCTATTCAAGATAGATAGATATTGTTGTGATCCAAAGCAAAAAAAACCCCCCAACAACTGAAAGATCATACCAATAACTTCATATGCCCAAAAACTGACAAGCACCTGGTTCCACCATGTTGTGACACATATGTCCTATCAGAAGCAGACCGAGGGCAATTGGCGTTGTAAATCATGAGTGCACATTTTTATCAGATTTCGTCATGTTTTTCAGTGTGCAAAATGATAATGATGACTCTGAGAGGAGGGAACAAATGCTTGGACACATGCAAACTTTATCCTTTTCTTTCTTTTGCAGACTTTGTAAACTTCTGACCTCCCCTGTTACTTCTGTGAAGGACCTGGTGGCTCATTTTATCTTCATTCTATGTAAAGAGAATGGTGAGAGAATAAATCATGTCTTACATAAATCGATCTCAACAGTTGTTGGGTCTTTTTAGTTTACCCAGCTGCAAATGAGTACAATAGAAATTAATAGTGAAAGAATAGACAGGTGTATAATAGCAGTATGCATCAAGCAGGCTGCAATAATGTAGATCCCCCAGGGACTTGAGAGGAAAATGAGGAGTGCACCGGCTTGCTCTTGTAAATGTAAAAAACTGTTATGAGCCTTCCTGAGGACTCAGGACCAGTCAAAAAGACTTTCGAAAGAAAGAAAGGAAGCACTGAATAATTAATTAGAGGCAGGCAGGGTTATTCATTGGTTTATAATGACGTTTCCCTACAGGTAGGTTTCATATTACATCTTTTGGGGGGGGGGGGGGGAGTCTGTTTGGTTTGTCTTATTTTTGCACAGTTCTAAATTATTATCATATCATTGTGCTTCTCTCCATTCAGACCCTCAAGAAATATTATATCCAAGACAGAGTTAAGTCTTAAGGATTGTGACAAATTCAAGATCACTGGTGGTTTTTTTTCCATTGTCCAGTGAACCGCATGGTGAAGTACACCGGTTACGGGAACTGTGCGGGTCTCCTGGCTCAGTTTGGGTTGCTCAAGCTTGGAGACAGTGGCCAGAGGAAGGGAGATTACTCCAGCAATTCTGAGGATTCAGAGACTGAAGAGTACGCTGAACTAAAGGACCAGTAAGATTGTTTTTTCTTTTCACATTACATGGATTGTTTTTCTTTAGGTGTTAAATTGCATTTCTTTTGACGATAACTTGGGGGGGGGGGGGGTGTTTTGCACTTTAGGGCTTCCTTTTTTTGGTTTTTTTGTTTCTTTGTTGTTTTTTAAAATTATTTATTGGGGTGGGGGGGGGGGCAGCTTTTTGTGGTTGCAGTAGGTATTTTATGTATATGCAGATACTGATCAGTCATATTTGAAGGCAGGTTGGATTTCAGAGGGAGTTGTTGGGAAAAAAGCAGTCTTTGCTTTAGTTCATGACCAGGGTTCATTTCTTAGTGTGTGTGTGATAGTCTGTGTCATTTGTTTTCTGTTTTGTGGCTGCAGTGCTCATTTTGTGTCTTGGCTTGAATCATTCTTGAAGTTCTCATGGCCGTTTCTCTTTCCTTCAGAGTGAATCCAATCACAGGGCGATGGGAGCCTAGTAAGTCTGACCCCATGGCCGGAATGTCAGATGAACAAAAAGAATACGAAGCTGAACAGCTGCTCAACTCTATCGACAAACTACAGAGGTAAGAGATACATCTTCATTTCTTGCGTTTTCTATGTTACAAATTGAATTGTATCATTTTGTACTCAGTTTTTGGCTTGTAGAAATGTTTTACTTTTTCTCCAATATCCAAGCAGTAAAACTTCTGTGTGATGTGAATGATAGTTCCCAAGGTGAGGACTTGTTTGAGTTAGCAGCAGCTTGAAAATACTCACAGAATCTCACAAGTACCTCACCTTCTGCAATGAAAGACACCAGTCATAGTCTTGGCTACTTTGAATGATTCGTATACTGTGTTTTCCCGCTCAGTACCACTGGATTTCCAGTAGGAAGATGGCTCAGAACCACGCAACAGGGAATAACTCCTTTTTTGTGATGTAGTGTGTATTTTTTAAAAATCATCATAAAATGTGAGGCATCATGGTGAAATCAGGCACTCGTCAAAGTAATGAAATTGAAAAAACATGCACTTTTCAACGAGTTTGGCAATTTTTATTGAATTTTCTTTTTTTGGCTCAACACCTTTTATGTATATATAAAAACACATTTCAATGTGAATTTTACAGAAAAATGTTGATTAACTCACTCGCTGCCAGCCCCTTAGCTCAGACCAAGCTGCTGCCTGCCAGCTTTTTATTGACCTTTTTCAAAATCCAGTTACTCTGTCCCTATTTGTGACGTCGGTAGCTTAGTGGTTAGGCTACCGGACTCGTAATCCTGAGGTTGCGGGTTCAGGGGTTCAAGCCTCAGCTCTGTCCGACGTTGTGTCCTTGGAAAAGGCACTTTACACGAACTTCCCACTTGGCTCGGTCCTATCGGAGACAGATGTTAAACTAGGAGGTCTCGCCCCTTAAATAACCTAATAGTGTTGATAGGGGCGTTAAACCCATACCATTTCACCATTTGTCCCTATTTATGTTAGATTTATGAAAGTTGGCCGGTTTCTGTAAGACATGTTGAGCTTTACAGAACAGAAAGAATTTTGACTCTATGTTATTTTGTTTATGTTTTATAGCTTTTAAGAAAATGACACATTTTGGGGACTAAAACTTTTTTTTTGGTCCAAACTAGCCAGTACAATATTTTTGCTGTTTTTGTGAGTGTTTCTGTTTCTGTCCTAAAATACACACAAAAATGTATAACAAAACAAAGAAAACTAAATTGATATGTTTAACCTGTGTGAATTGTGGTTTGTTTACATATTGAATTTAGTCCAACTAAAATATCCGGAGCTATGTCCCTGCTGCTCTCAAGGAGAGAATGGTTATCTATTTTCTGATTGATTGAAATGCTGGTTAAATACAATGGTTACCAAGCGTGTACACTTCCCTAGAAACAACTCTACTAGCGCCGGCTGGTCTTGGCCATTATGGTACTAGGCTTATGAAATGAAAGCGGCCGTGGTGGTACTGAGTGGGTTAAGTGGTTATGTTTTTTATACCTTAGAGGGTCAGTGATTATAAATAGTTATTTTTCACACCAGCAGTAGCTGCGTCTTCTCTGCTAGTGCAACCTCTCTGACTCCAATGGCTTCTTTTTTTATTTTCTGTCCTCACTGTGTCTTCAGTGTGGATTTCCTTTTAGACGGTGGTGCAGCTAATGATGAATCGTCTTCTATATCCGCCAGATTTGGTGTCGTCTTCAAAATGGTCAAGTGGGGAATTGTACATTGTACTTGTACCTGTAACAAAATAATTAAATAATAATAAATAAATAACCTGAAACAAAACACCATAGTGAGTGGTTGGCGGCTGCTCTGGTGCTATTTGCCCCTTTTTTTCTATCAAACATGTAATACTTTCTTTTTTGTGTTTGTTACTCTATTGTAACACCTTGTTCAGCACTCATATGACCCTATTGTGTTGCAGGTGCAGTAAAACTCTTATCAAAGCTTTAAAAAACTAAACAAAACTTGTGTGTTTTCCAGGCAAGGCATTATCCAGCCATGTCGTGTTGGGGAAGACGGGAAACCGGAGCCTGTGGAACACGTGCTGGAGTTGCTGGAGGGTCAGGGAGCCGCGGGCGGGGCAGAGGCGCCGGAATGTGACTGAGGGCGACCGGCTATTCGTCAGCGGCTGTCTAGTGACAGGACAGCAGTTGACCAGCAGCTCAGCAGCTGATGACCAACCTGTTCCCATTTCTCACATTCTACTACTGTAAAGTCAAATACTTATTGATTGCCGCAACACACAAGCATGTCTTTTTTGGGGGGGCACTTCTGAGATATTTTCTTTTTTTCAACATAATAACTGAGTGAATTACCTTTTTAATATGCTCATGTTGTTATGACAAAGTTGGAAGCATCATAAAACGTAAAGTATTTCCTTGGGTGGAAATAGACTATCTAAAGTTAAATGCAAATATTTAAATTCTAGATCTGGGATGTAGCTTTTTCTGACTGCAAGTTTCTATGACTTTTGTCTAAATACTGCATTAATAGTATACAGTTGTGTGCAAAGTAATGAAATGAATAGTGTCATCTCTCTTTTCATAAGGCAACAACACTCAGATGTAAAATCTCAGCAAATTTTTTTTATGTATGTGCATGTATCAAAAAATGAAGTCTCATCATTGATCGTATCCTTTGGCGGTAAACTCTTAAAAACTTCTGTCGGTGAGTGCATTGACAAATAAACAATGCCGTCTGTGTTGGTATTTCATGTATATGAACTGAAATATACAAAAGCTCAGCAAATCAAATATGATTTTTCCCCTACCCTCTCAACCCCTGCAAGATGTTATTGTCTTCGTAGCATACAGCATAGCACACTACTGTTAAGATACACAAGTGCTTGCTGTTGACTGTACTTTACTCCCCTTGGCGCTGGGATTATCTCTCCCCACCTCCCAAATCTTTTCTCTTGCCATTTTGACTTGTTTCTGTTCAGAATTTATTTGACTTGGCGCACATATTTGAAAGTATGCATAGAAATCCATGATTGTTTCTGTGGCAGACATTATAATGTATGTATATGTTTTTACAACTCAAATGGTGATGGCTTTCGTTGTTCATAGTAGCGGGCCATGTATCTTCATTCTTTCTTTCAGTGCAGTTACTTTGTAATGTGCACTATGTTTTTAATTCTCTGCAAAAGGTATGTAATAACGCGGGCAGGATGACATGTAATAGGAGTAACAAGTATTTTCTTTTTTTGCCCTGCTCAGCAGTTGTTCCTGCTCAAAGTATATCCTGATAAAACGTACAAGATTTTGTCACCTTGATGGTACCGACAAAGCAGTCAAGAGATGCTCAACACTTTTGAAATGTTAACCTTCAAAAGTTTTTAGCAGAATCAGGTGGTTGAACAGAATTTTTTCACAAAAAGTTATGCCATGAAATTATATTTGAAAAGGGTGTGCTACAAACTGTAAAGCAAAAAACATTTTTAATGCTTTGTGTGCCGCAACATATCAGATTGTGTGTTTGTTGGCGAGACAGCGGGAATGTGAGCCAAAAAAACCAACATTACTGATATATTTGAAAGTTTTGGATTAATAAAATTGACTGGTTTTGGTTTTTTTAAAGAACTGAACAGTTTTTGGAAGGAGATGAATATTATTCATTGCGAGTTGCCCAGCAGAAGTTGATCAGGGATGTCTGATACAGAGACACAAACAAGGGGTGGATGGTTGAACCCAAGTGTTTTCTTTGTGCTCCAACGAGTGATTAAAAAGATGGAAACTGCCATCAGCAAGTCTGTGAACACAGTGATGTGATGACTATTGTTCCTGGTTGATCCAAACTACAATGTATCTGTTTGGTAGAAGAGCTAATATATTTGGTCCTGTTTGAAGCATGACGTCAAAGCTTCTCTACAACTTACTCTGTGGCAAAGAGATTTGACCTTCTGTTCACTGTCTGGTTTGCGCAGGTGCTGTGTGTTTTGTTTCTTTGCTCAATAGCTCAATGACTCATTCTGACTGAGCAGTTCTATACCATTGACTTGAAATTTAGAAAAATGCTTATAAAATGAATTGAATTATACCTTCTTAATTCTTCCATCATTTTGGAAAGAAGCGTTGAAGACAGAGAGAAGATTTTTGTTGTTGACTTGATTAATTGTTTGGGGGGGTTTTTCCTATGTATCCTCAACTGTGTTTAAAGCTAATTTTAAATGCTCTGTTTATTTTTCTGGATTTTTGAGTTGTTTTTACAGACCTGAGGGCGTCACCTCTAATTGGCTCAAGTGACATCTGTCAATATGGACACAAGAATGGTGATCACTCAGTGTTACTTTAAAGGAGAATATGGAGTGTGAATTTCAATAGAATGGTATCAGGTGTTGTGAAATATGTTTCAGGTAATGATTATCACAGGGATGAGCTGGGTCTACTTTCGTCAAAATAAGTATAATGATGCTCTCGCCACTGGGTTCACTAAAATTTGCTTTAGATGTCACTGAGCAAGTCCTGCCACTGAGGCTTTTATGTATTGTGTGATATCAAGTTTTGTAAATAAATTACAATTTATATGAAGTTGTACAATATTCTGTATACTATCTAAATGAAATTCAGTTGTATTTTAAAGACACCTCCATTACTTCTTGTATGGGTTTCTTCCCGAGACAGGTACAAATATTAAATTCAGAAGGGAAAAAAAAATGAAAACCAGCTCATATAACTGCTTGTTAACTTGTTAAGTTTGCTTTGCTCTGTTGATATTGTAAAGGATAGATTCGTCACTTTCATGATCGTTGTGTCAGTATGGGATCGTGTTTGAATTTTCCTGTTGTCGTTCCTTTTGTGATGAACCGTAACCTCTGCCTTGTGATCGTGGATCATTTACTGTTCTTTTCCATCTCCGTCTCTGCTAAAAGATTGAGACAAACTGTGTACAAAATTCTCAAAGGAATGTAAAAGTCAAGAATGGTGTGTGTCTATATGTTACAGCTATCATTCATGAGGAAGTGAAGTTTCTCCCACGTTCACTTTTTTATATATATTTTAATATATATTTTAAAATATATTTTAACCTCTAATTTTTTAATATTTTTTTATATATTTTTATTTATTTATTTTTTTAGTTGTTGTTTTGTTTCGTATGTTAACGTTTAAGAAATGGTGATAATATCTCAAAATTAGCCTTGAGCTACTTTACTAAATGCCAGAAAATTAAGAGAGAACTGTAATTTGAAGTTCAGAACTGATAAATGGCTTTAGTACTTCAAATGCAAAGTATAATTTTTTTTTACATACACAAAATATTTGTCTTGAAACGAATTGTTCATGTTTGGTGAAGTAGTAATGTGATGACTTGGATGTGGTTCTGCAAAAAAGTACAGTAAAGCCTTTGTTTTGGACCTAGTCTCTCCTCCAGATGTTGCGAGATATGTACTTTTTAATCAGTAAAGTTACTAACTTTAAGATTTTTGTTGCTTTTTTTGGTTGTTGTCACAGGCTCAAGGGGTTTCATGGATTTTGGACTCAGAATTCACGCTTTTTGAGGTCTTATTGTTTTGTTGGTTTTTTGTTGTATTTTTTTCAATCTTCATTTTACGAGTGTATTGTAAAAATTTGTGTGAGTGTGAATGGGATAGTGTGACGTTGCAGTGAAAGTTTGGGGTTTGGTTAAATTTACTTTAGTCTTTCCCAGCGGCATTCATCGTTGTTCCATTTTTTAATTTTTGTTTGTTGGTATGATGTCTGATCACACTCAAGTATGGTATTTATTAATATCTCTCAGTGTGTTTTTGAGATGGTTGTCTCTCTCTGTGAACTCATTGTAAGAAGCATTTACTGTGTTCAAATATCATGTGTTTCTTTTATAAAATTCTTCTTTTTTAAAAATTGTATTAAATAGCCTGCACACTGCTAGTCACAAATTTGAGGTGCAATATTGTTACACAGTACTCTGTGAGTTGTGCCGCTGCTTATCGGCCGTGCACTCTGATGCCACGTACAGATGTTGAAAATTGTGCTGTGCTGTCTTTGACACCTACTAGCTTTTCATTGAGATTGGATGTCATGTGACACTAAGGTGATTCTTGCCTCTGTAAGGAAATTTGCATCATTTACCTCTTTGATATGATAGCTATATCTCCTTCTTATAGATATAAATATTGCATGCCTTATAACTTGTTCATCATTATGTCACCAGTGCACTGCATGTGCTTTCATTAACACTGAAGGTCCAATAATAGAGAAGCGGTGAAGGGGTTGGGTAATCTGTGCATAGACTTAATGTTTAGAACTTCAAGTTTCGTTAAGTCAACCATATTGTTATATTTTAGTCTCTTTCATTTTCAATTTCATTGACGCAGACTATAGTGTGAAGTGGATGCTTGTGAAATTTATTGGTTTTGTTCATGAAATAATATACCACCATCGATATTACATGCCACTTTCTTTAATTAAAAGCGTAATCCACTCAACAAATGATCTGCCATTGACTAATCATGAGTTGTTTCTTATTGACTATTGTTTGTTTTTGTAACTTTCATTACATTTACGTAATTTGGGAAAAGATTTCAGGTTGCTATTTCTGACTCCAATGAGTTGGAGTTGAATATCATTTTAGCTCTCTTCCCTCTAGTGCTAAAGCATTCGTTATTTCCTGTACTGGTTCTCTTTTGTCAAGACTGGAAAGATTTTCTCCACATTGCTCTATTTTTATACGCAAGCTCATGTCTTAAGCTATGTGTTCTATCTCAGTCTTTTTCTTTTGTTTGTTTTTTGTATGGAAAGTGCTCTTTTGTATCTGGCATATGAAATAAATATCTGCAGTGGCATAGCCGTTTTCTGTTTTCTTTATAATTGAACTGTTTGGGGGGAGATTGACCTGGGAGAAAGGTACTCTATTTTTTAAATGTTTCTTTTATTGTTCATACTGTACTTACCTGTATCCTGATGTGCCACTTTTCTGGCAGTTGGCAGAATTTTGACAGTTGAGGTCTGACTTTTTTTTATCCTTTCTAGAACAATCCTGCACAACCCAATTCTTTATAGTGGGTTGGGGGGGGGGGGGGTCCTCTCTTACTATAACTATATATATTTCATGTGCCAGCTATACTTGACACGGCAACAATTCTCAAAGTTTAAGTGCACAAAATTTGGAGTCGTCTGCATGATCATACTTTATTATTGTAGTAAATCCGTTCTTTGTAGTTTTGGGATTATGAATATTTTGAGAAAAAGTTTAGAAGTAAAATTCTCTCGCTCACTATTCTTCTTTATTTTGGTTACATAACATCTGCCTTTGTTTTTACCAATCTTTGCTTCTGGAATGTACGGATAAGTATTTGTGCATCTTGTCAAGCTAACAGTCTGCATCAGACTAAAACTTTGGACCTGTTATTGTGTAAAATGTTGAATAGTTTCTTTGGAGACTTAAATAGACTAGTAATCTTGATACTCTTTTTATCTGTTTTTTTTAAAAATTTGGATTAGAATTTTTTGCTTGCAAAATAACGTTTGCGGTTTCTCTATTTAATTAAACAGAGCTCCTGGTTTTCATAAAGTTGAGTTGAACAATATAGCACGTAATGTGCATAAATTGAGAACAAACTTGTGGGGTATTTTTGTTTAATGGAAGCTGTTTGCATTGTCTTGTGTCTCTGAATTTTGTACTGTTCAAACTTTACTCTCAAGGAAAACTTGTGCTAGTGGGGTTACAGTAAATTCAAGTGTCACATTTAAAAAAACCAACTGTCTGAATTTAGAGTGTAAGGAAAAGTTGTTTCATATGTACTTAAAGGGCTTCTGCTGTTCATTCTGTGTTGCTGCTCTGGAGAACACGCCGAGAACAAAACAAATGGGAATAATTCCTTTGGTTGTCAAAATTGTTCAGTCCTTGTCTGTTGAATCTGAGTTTACTTATTTTAGACTTTGTGCATATTAATGAATTTCCTGTGAATGTTCAAGCTCCATTATAGGTCTGTTCTACCTGCAAATATAAACACATGCTTTAACAAATACATGTTGAACATTTTTCAATATTTTTCACCGCATTCATTCGAAATTTAATTATGGTTCCTTTTGAACCACAGTATTACATTTCACTATACTTTTAATGTTGTTTCAATTATTTTAAGTATTCTTTAAAAATATCTAGATAGTATCTACAACTCGGCATCTGGTATCCATTCTACTTCAATGGGTTTAAAACGTATCAATTTTTCATTTGTTATATATATTTTCCACTTAAATAAGGCTAAGAGTTGGTTTCTCTGATGAAATTAAGGCCCTGCTCTATGCAGTCATTATGAGGTCACTTGTCTTTACACTTCAATGTTAACAAAAGTAGTGGTGGTCAGAACTTCTAAATTTCAACTCCTTCTCATGAGCCAGAGTGCGGATCCCTAAAATAGTAATGTTTTGTAAGTTTTGTTTTTGCATGACAGACAGAGCTGGAAGAGTGAATGCTCTCTGTCGCCAGTACCAGTACTTCATGAATCACTGTGATTTTTTTTCTTTTAGTTTGCCTGGCTTGCATTTGTTCTGAGCAAAATAATGTTGAGTGAGACTGCCATTGAATACTCTTTATTAATTCTTCCCCATTACTCATTGACAGATGACATGAAATGCTTATATATATTATATAGAATTCATTGTCTTTGAAAGAGTAAAGCCATGAATGCATGTGAAGTTGATTCATTGGGACAGGTAAGCAAGAGACATTGAAAAATAATGAAATGTTCAATGTGAAAAGTATTGTCACACTAACTAGTGATCTGCTTTACTGTAGCTATGATGTAGCAATGTTGTTGTATTGACTTTGGTTATTGTAACAATATTTTGTACGGAATATGGCTGACGAGTATAGGCTGGACAGAATTTGAAATGATCAGACTTTGGTTGTCACAGTTAAAACAACAGACCTTCTCAGTGGGTGGTTGGCGGGTGCTCTGGTGTGGTTTGCTTCTTCTTTCTTATCGAACATATGTCGTCCTTATCTCCCCTTCTTCTTTTTTACATTTGTTACTCTCTTGTAACACCTCTAAATCTTCTGGCGCTCATATGACCTCTACTAAAACTAAAAAAGACCTCAAGCATTTAGAAAAAGAGTGTGTCACTCAGAATTTGAAGAATTTCATTACGGCCAAAATACATGTACTATTGTTGCTGCTTTGTCAGTGGACGTCTCATGTCATTTGCCTTGATGATGATGATGTATGTATACAGTTTCTAAGCTGTGAATTGCAAAGGAGTCTTGTTTTGTCTGGTCAGTGGAATGCTCTTCAATTTGACCTATGTATGTTGTATCAGACAAAAGAAGGTAACAATCCTCTTTTGTTTGTATGTGTTGTGTTTGTGAGTAGGCCTTCTGTTCAGATCATGCATTATTTTGTTGCTTCAAGTAAAGATCGGGGAAAGTATTTATCATCTTTTCAAAACAGTAGACTAAATAGTAAAAATTCAGTTGGCTAAGAATCAAAATCACTTCCTTTTATTTAATACCATTATTTATTAAACAGCAGATTAGGCCTCTATTAATTGCTTGTTGTCATAATATATCATTAATATATATAGGCCTATATAATCTGGGCCTTATAAATGCTGTTCAGCCCATGTTATCTGTGGAAGATTGTAAATACAGTACAACTCGGAGAGCTCGAAATCATTGTGACCGGCCTCGGTAGTTTAAGGGATCCGTAGTGCGAGGA